CCTGGGGCTGGTGTCCCGATCTGGAATGGCTTGTAGATGTGTCGGTCCTAGCCAATATGTCATGCTTTCAGGTTGGTAGCCATAGGTTTTGTGGAAGATATCACAAAACACTCGCAGGAAGAATGTCGTGAAGTATTGCAGCTCCATCTTTGAAATTGTTAGCTGTTCTCTCAATGGAACCAGATGCACCATCGTCTCTATATCTTCATCGAGGTAGATGGGAAAGGCTGGAAACTCCGGAAGGGGGTTCCTAGTGAGCAACAAGAGGCTTGCGTGTTGTCTTGCTAGGGGACGAGAAGGTTCCAACAGGATTATAGTGATGTAAAGGTTATGTGGAAGCTCGCCTCTTTTGTCTTCCCAAAATGACGGTTTGACTATCATGTCGTACTGGCTAGTCTGCTTGGAGGTTATGGCAAGTTTGGCATTCCTCATCGCAGGCAAGCGACGGTGGAACATAGACTTGAAGTGATTGTCGAGCAATCCGGCTTTGCGTAGCCGTATGCATGTATCAAATGCTGCAGTCTGCATGGCTCTCGATTTTCGGATTTCCGGACTCCCAGTGAGCCCTACCACTGGCGACTTCTCAGGCAGAATGACCTCGCAAACAAAAGCATTGTTGACAGGAAGCACCACGTAATGTACTTTTGCGTCTTGCTCTTTCTCATATTGCTTGAATGGTTGCTTTGTCAGCACAATGACAGTCTATCATATGGATCACACTTACCAGAGAGCTAGCATAGCGAGCGAGTATGGCAATGGCGGAGTGATAGGTCAACTTGGCACCGGATGCTTTGATGGTGTAAGTCCGCTTGCCGGCTTCTTTCTCCAATACCTTTTCAAGGTCATCGTTTCCATGCAGCAATCTATTCTCAGGCAGAGCTTCACAGAATTGTTGCATTATGCTCTGTATCGGATTAGTCCGACTCTCTTAAACAGGATATAGACCTACCTCGGCGTCTCGAACTTCCGACAGTCGGTCCTGGTGCTGCTGATTGTATCTCTCGACCATGATTGCATACTGTGAATAAAATAAGCATTGACCTCGCGGATCGAGAGTCGTATCTCATACCGTTGACCTGTAGTGACGGGCACGACCACGGCTCTGCACGTACTGAATGAGTGTCTGGTAAAGATCAAACCTATGCCATAAGTCAGACCCTCTCAGTGGTGGACGTCTAGTTCTGTATACCTAACAACGAGATTACAGTCTGGAATATCGAGACCTTCTTCAGCTACCGAGGTAGCGAACTTATTCGGTCAGCGTTGTTGGTTATGTAGGCAGCATTATCACATACCAGGCAATTGATCTCTCCTTCTCTGAATTTAATCAAGGTAAGGAACTGCTGACGAAAAGTTATGCCCATTCCTGCAACGTCCCCCGATCGAACCCCAATAAGCACACCAGGTCGAAGGTAAGGGATAGGTAAGTTGCTAAAAAGCTCAAATAACATTAACGCGGTGTAGCGTTTCTCGGTGAAGACAATGCACTTTGTTTGATCTGGATGCAGAAAGCGCTTCTGCAGCTCAGCTCGGAGCAACTGCGCCTTAGAGCTTAGCGTTCCTGAACCGAGAGGGCTGCTGAGCTCATGTCTTTTGACAAGGTCGCTGGCTTCTCTAATTCGCAAGATCTGTGTATGCGTGTCCTGAGACTCTGTGAGTGAACTATTAGATTCAACCGACTTGTTGATCTTCCCCTCTAGTCGGGGCAGAACGTCATCAGCTAACGCACGTAGCCATGCTCTATCCGAGCACCAACTACCCAGTTCAGAGGTTGCGTGCCAGGCAAATTTGAAGATGCCCTCGAGACACTCGAGGTCACCAAAACGTTGCTTGAGATCTTTGTACAATGCTGTCGCTACTGGGGGCTCCAATCTCTTGTATTCCCACGTTTCTTCGACTGGACGACTGACATATTGCCGCAGTAAGGTAGCTTGGGATGTTGTGGCAATAGTGCTGTCTAGTAATGTTTCAAGTCGCCTACGAGGTGTTAGCGAGTGCATCAGAGAGAAAGAGGAAAGCTCGTTCATACATAGCAGCATCGACTACATCACCTTTGGTGTCCACTGGAGAAGCCGTCATCCCAAATACCCTTGGCCGCTTTGAAGGAACCTCCTTTAGGTACGTGTCACGAATGATCCTAAGCCCAGTCAGACAATGTACTCGGGTTTTGTCATACAATAAACCCACCGTGCATAGGGATGATCTTTCTTGGTATGATGAGCTTCATCAAAGATCAAGAGATTGATCTGATCCATCTTGATGTAAGAATTGAGCAAGCACTGATGCAGGATCTCAGCTGTGCAGACAATGACCATGTTCGTCTTGAAATGCTCATCCCAAATCTCCTTGTTCCATAGATCAGTTCCCATGGCGCCGAAGAATTGCCCAACGCTTTGATCGAGGTTGTGGCGTAGCACTGCTGCTTGTTGAAATGCGAGAGTGACGCTATCCACCTGTCGACGTGTGAGTTTTCTCATAGAGTCATGGTAAGATATACGCACCAAGAAAAAAGATATGCGATGCGGCTTTCCTTGAGCACGATCATTTAGCTCGTTTTGCAATGTATGCCTAAGGAGCAGCACTGCGATCAAAGTCTTTCCTGAGCCTATCACATACATAGATCAGATATGCCAGGCCTTCTGAGTGGGTGTCAGTCTATACCAGTTTCGAGCACGGCAATCGTATTCTGTGCCTTGGCTCTTTCGAACAGCTCTACCTGGTAGTCTCTTGGATCCAAGGTACCAGTGGCAAGGTCGTGCTTGACTATCAAGTGAGCTGTCGAAAGCTGGGCGTCAGGCAGATCAGACGCCACCCTTTTCTTGGTGTCGACTGAATCGGTGACAGCGCGCTCGGACAAGCTGGTTGAGTGTTATTCACATCCAGAAATGAAGGGTAATTGATAGAATGCACTAACAGGACGTTGAACTTGGCATTATGGAATCTCCGTCGTTGGGAGGCATCCATTGGCTTGATGCTTTCTTGTTTATCATCATCCGAGTCAGACGAGCTGGAAGCGTTTTCGGCGTTCTCTGAGGAGACCTCAACTCCACTGGTTTCGTTGGTAGTGCCTGGGGCGTCGCTCTTAGTATTGGAGACAGGGATCTCTAGAAATCCGGCGTTGAGGTTGTCGACGTTCGACCCAGCCATTTTCATGCTCTAGGCTCGACTCCGAGTAGGATGATTGTGGCGGGGAGAGGAAAAGTGTTCATGCTAGAGATACAGAAGAGGTAAAGTGAGTGTTCAATGAAATTGTAAAGTCTTACGGTGGAATGAATCTTCATCACCAGCTGTTGTTAGTGTTACCGTGTGGTGCAGTGAATACAAACCGTACAACAAACGGGCCATGCTCTGTTTGTAGAGTGAGAATGTTTCACACGCCGGCTTGAGACTTGTCTTCGAAGATATTGGCAGCGTAAGGTATGTGCTTGTTACAATAGTGGCCAAAGTATCTAGACTTCGCAACTGAGGCCACTACTAGTACCATGGACCCGACTAGACCGGCGCGATATACGTACGGTGAAAATATATATACTTCACTCCACCGGGCTGGAGCGCGAGGATCCACCCCTAAATTGATAGCTGCGGGGCTTGCCGCGGGGCGGGCCCAGGAATTATTTCTTCGAGGGCACGTCGATCAGCCATTCTCCTTATCCAGTTCCCAACCCCAGCACCACCCTCAGCAAGCGCACATCCAACCTAATGGAACAACCACAGAACCTACGCACTCTATTCACCGAGGCGAAAGCCGAAAAGTCCGCGCTGGAGGGGCGGTTCGACAGCAACACGGATGCTTATCGCAGTGATGTCAACGCAGTCATAGCCAAGCTTGAGGAATGCCAACGATTAGTGAGCTTGCTGTCCTTGTTCAGCTCCAACGAAGCTCTCGAGGACATCTCCACCGGAGATCTACAGTACAGGCCCCATCCAATTGAATTATAGACATTTGATCGGAGCATGTCTTTTGTTCACACACACTCTCTCTCACTGCAGATACCTGACCGTGGAATACCTGCTCGCCGACCTCCTCCAGAGAACCTACACATCCGACCGCGAAGCCTCCCTCCGCCGGGCCCTAAGCCAATACGAGCGATTCCTCGCCCGCCTGGAAGAATACGAGATCCTCAGCGCCAGCGACAAGAAGCTCTACGAGCGGTACGCGGCCAACCCGTCCACCTTCTCGCTCACCCCCACCAACGATGCGGCGGTCCGGCGCGAGGTGAAGATCACCCGGTTCCGGGAGGAGAAGGAATTGAAGCAGAAACTCGAGGTTAGACAGCATCACAGGCCCTTAACATGAAGGAGGTCGCCCGCTTACTCAATATGCTCCCCCCCCAAAAAAGTACTTGTCCAAGAACAAAGACCGCCTGCAGAGCGATGAGGACGATGTGCGCGCATTGTACCTGGCGGAGCTGGCACTCTACGCCCACCAGACGTTCCAGTCGCTCGACCTCTTGGCGCAGGAGTTGTCGATGTTGGCCACGATGCGCACGGCACCCCCCAATCCCACCGAGCTGTCGCAGGATGATCCCCGGAGACGCAATGGGGATGCTGAATCGGGGTATTCCGAGCGACTGGACCGCCCGATCGCCGAGCTTTTGAGAGGAGGAAGGCTCGGGCCGATATTGAGCAAGGAGGGACGGCCGATGCAGCCCTTCACATTACTGGACCGCCGCACCCAGCTGCAGCAGGGCGTGTTCCGCTCCGGGCACAACCTGCCGACTATGACCATCGATGAATACCTTGAAGAGGAACGAAGGCGGGGCAACGTTATCGAAGGGGGAGGCGAGGCATCCGGGATCAAACCAGAGGTCGACGAAGACGACCACGATATCGCCGACGGGGAGACTATGAAGGCCCGGGCCTGGGATGAGTTCAAGGAAGCAAACCCCCGAGGCTCGGGAAACACTCTCAATAGAGGATGAGTGCCATGAATGCTATATAGACGCTGATGGTTGGTTTCTTGGTCGGAATCTCGCCATGAGACTAGCACATATAATGAATGCATATATTCCTTGCTAGATCTGCCATCGACGCAGATATGCCTTATGAATTGCGTTGTTATGTCATAATCTATCCTAAACCTGCAACGTGCCGTTTCCTTGTATGGGTATCCGTCTTTTCATATCCTTCATGCCTTCGGTGAAGGAGAGGACCAGCATCTCCACCACAACATCTTTGTATTGTACAAGACATCATTGAGAGGCCTGCTTGTTCCGCTGGATCTCTTCGAGGATCTTTCCAGCTCCCTTGGCCACCAGCGCATTGGCAACCGTGACGCCAAACTCCTCAGCAGCCTGAGGGGTATCTACGGACCCGTCCACTTCCACCTCGGAGCTCTCACTGCCATTCACGCTAACCACCACCGACCGCATCCTCAACTTGGACGAGCCATCGGCATCGCGAACCCACTCCGACTCGACACCTAGAGGGGCACTGCAGCCACCCTCCAGGGTCCGCAGCAGGCTGCGCTCCGCCAGACAGGCCAGAGTCGTCTCTTGGTGACCGATGCCCGTCAACATGTCGAGCACAAGCCGATCATCCTTGCGGACCTCGATACCCAGAGCCCCCTGCCCGACGGCATAGAGCATACCGGCATTCTGGGAGTCCAAATAGGCGGTGATGCGGTCCTGCAGGTCCAGACGGAGCAGACCGGCCGCCGCCAGAATCAGACAAGCATAGGGGCTATCCTCCGCATCGAGCTTCGACAAGCGAGTGCCGATGTTTCCGCGAACGTCCGTGACCTTAAGATGGGGGTACCGCCGCGCCAACTGGGCAGTGCGACGGATAGAGGAGGTGCCCACCACGGAACCGGCAGGTAGGTCGGCCAAGCTCTTGTACGGCAATCCCTGCTTGACGACCAAGACGTCGCGCGTATCTTCCCGGTCCATCATCGGGCCCAGCGTGCATGAGGGCGGCAGCAAAGTGGGGACATCTACGTTGCAACCACAAGTCTGTCAGCCCAAGAATTCCCCCGAGCCTTTCTTGTTCTTCCGTTGGGCGCCACCACACTTACCCTTGAGCGAATGCACGATGAGGTCCACATGACCGGCCATCAACAGCTCCTCCAATTCCTGAGTCCACAGGTTCTTGGTGGTGAAGTCGCGCAGCGCGATGGTGGTGTTCTGGTCGCCGGCGGTTTCACGCGAGTGGATCTTGAACTCATATTCGGGCCATTTGGCCTTGAGGGCGGCCTGGACCAGATCGGTTTGGAGCAGAGCGAGCTTGGACTTGCGCGTTCCGATGGTGAAGACCTTGCGGGAGGAGGGATCAGCGGCGTTTGCGCTGGCAAGCGGGGTAGAGGCCATTTCGACGGTGGTTGGGAGGGAGGGGAAATAGAACAGGGGAGAGGAAATTAGAAGCGGGTGGAGTGAAAGAGGAGAGAGAATGGGAATGCGTTCCGAAGGGACAAACAAATAGATGGGTCAATTGATGGGAGTCGAGGTAGTGGCAATTGCTGTCAAGTTGTTAAGGTTGGATTGGATCTCCGGCTCGAGCACATTTTCCACCGGGGGTATTTTTTGCGGGTTCTGTTTTGTCATACGACTCGGCTGGACTGGCCGGTCCGGGGCAAAGATAGTGGGACATTGTAATCTTACGGCGGTAATCTTACAGCTGGGGCCCTTTTTGCCTCTTCGCGATAGAGAGCATCCCGATAAGCGATCCTACTTGTTCAATCCACGTCATGGTGAGTGTAGGCTAGTATAGTACTCATTATTGCGAATTTGCGACCATCTTGATCGACAACATACCTTATCAGATCGAATCTAAAGGGGGTAGAAGCTGGTGGAAGAGCAAGGAGCAAGTGAGACAAGAGGAGAATCCCCCAGGTTTTGCCCGCAGTGGGAGGTTATTTAACTCACGGTTGGTCGCCTGACGGCTACGAACCTCGGCATGATCGGGAGGGAGGCGCTTATCTTTCGATCTCCTCCTCTCCGCCTCACTCCAACCCCAGACGGGAGCGTCACACCTTCTCCCATCCATCCATCTATCTATCCATCAATCGATCCTTGGGGTTCTGCATAATTTTCTCTCTCCTCGCAGCTCTTCCCCACACATTGCAGATATTCTATCCTCCCTCACATCTTCCTGCATTTTCTTTTGATCATCGTCTCGGTTGAAATAACCACACCTTGCCTCTCTTGTTGCCATTTCTCTCAGCTTGAATCATTGTGCCTTTGCGACCCACGTCTGAACTGATCTGGTATCTATCATCCCGCGATGGGTTCCCACAGCGGCAGAACCACCAAGCTTGCCTTGGTCCCGCTCCCCAAAGGCTCCGTCTTACTTCCCGGAGTGACACTTCGGATTCCGGTCTCCAACCGACCGGATATCGCGAATCTCCTGACCACCGTGCTGGACCGCTCCCCCGCAGCGAAACGCGACGGGAGCATCGTCACCTTCGGATGCATCCCTCTCAGCTCCCCGTACCTAAGCAAAGATGGTCAGCGGGTCATCGATGATGGAACTCTGGAGGAGGACAAGCGGGACGAGTACGAGATGATCGATGCGGGACAGGCGCGCAAGGAGGACCTCTTCCGGTATGGCACCGTGGGTAAGGTGATCGGCATCCAACGCCGGGCCTACGCAGAGCCATCCCTCCTGGTGCAGGGAATCCAGCGCTTCACCCTCAAACGAGTCCTCAAGGAACGGCCATTCTTTGAGGCCGAAACCATCATCCATGACGATAAAGGTCTGTGTCCATTGCATTATTCTTCGACGTCCTTAGCTAAATTCCATATTTGAACTTGTAGTCATTAATGACACTGAGACGGTCGACCTATTCCAACAGCTAAGACAGCTTTCGAAGGAGCTATTGACTCTCCTGCGACTGTCCTCACTTCTGCCCTCCGCGGGAACCCGCCTATCGCCTATCATTGCTCGGAAATTCGAGATCTTCATCACGAAGTCTGATATCTCCCACGCGGGTAGGCTGGCCGACTTCATGGCCGATGTTGCCGACTCGGGCTTCGAGGAGAAGCTCCGCATTCTGGCCTCGTTTGATGTCCGCGCCAGGCTAGAAGGCGCTATCGAGATTCTGAGTCGGCAGGTACAGAACATCAAGAGCAATGTCAAAGTGACGACCATCACTACCAATACATTCCCCGGGTCTTCATTTGATATCAGCCAGATCGATCCGCGCGAGCGGGAGCTGCTGGCCAAACGAGCAATGGCAGGCCTGACGGGATTGACGCCGCCGGGGATGGCAAGCGGCCGGAACAACGACGGGGATGAGAAGGAAGCGAACGAGGTCGACGAGCTCCAGCAAAGACTTAATGATGCTGAGCTTAGCCCTGAAGCCAGGAAAGTCGCGGATAAGGAGTTGCGTCGTCTCCGGAAGATGAACCCGGCCAATGCAGAGTACGGTGTGTGCAGAAGCTACCTCGAGAACATCGCCGACATTCCCTGGACCAAGGTCACCGAAGACCAGCTTGGTCCTGAGACTCTGAAGAGAGCTCGCCAGCAATTAGATGACGACCATTACGGCCTGGAGAAGATCAAGAAGCGGCTTCTCGAGTACTTGGCGGTGCTGCGTCTAAAGCAAACCTCCAACAAGGATGTGCAACGCCAGATCGAGAGTCTCACCAAGGAACTGGATGCTTCCGATGCGGGCGACATTGAAAAGGATATCCCGACTCTCTCGGAAGCAGACAGGGTTGCTCTTGAGACCAAGCTACACCTCTTGGAGTCCAAGCGCATCGGCGACAAATCCCCGATTCTTCTGCTTGTCGGCCCTCCGGGTGTTGGAAAGACGAGTCTGGCACGGTCCGTGGCTGCCTCGTTGGGTCGCAAGTTCCATCGGATATCCCTGGGTGGTGTCCGGGACGAAGCAGAGATCCGAGGTCATCGGAGAACCTACGTTGCTGCAATGCCTGGTTTGATCGTCAATGGTTTGAAGAAGGTCGGTGTGGCCAACCCGGTCTTCTTGCTGGATGAGATCGATAAGGTGGGCGGAGCCAACTTCCAAGGCGACCCCTCAGCAGCTATGCTCGAAGTCTTGGACCCCGAACAGAACCACACATTCACCGATCACTACATCGGCATCCCAATTGACCTGAGCAAGATTCTTTTCATCGCCACGGCCAACTCGCTGGAGACCATCCCCGCCCCACTCCTCGACCGTATGGAGACGATACAGCTGTCCGGCTACACGAACATCGAGAAGCGACACATCTCCAAGAGACATCTCATTCCCAAGCAAATCCGAGCCAACGGACTCTCAGATGGCCAAGTCATCTTATCGGACGAGGTGCTCGACAAAGTCATCACGTCGTATACCATGGAGTCTGGGGTGCGGAACCTGGAGCGTGAGATCGGCTCGATCTGCCGGTCCAAGGCGGTGCAGTACGCGGACGCGGGTGACGCCGGCCGGCTGGAAGCGTACAATCCCGTCGTGAGCCTCGAGGATTTGGAGGATATTCTCGGCATCGAGCGTTTCTACGAGGAACTGGCAGAGAAGCATGGCCGGCCCGGCGTGGTGACGGGTCTCGTGGCCTTCTCCACCGGCGGCCAAGGCAGTATCCTGTTCATCGAAGTGGCCGATATGCCGGGCAACGGCAACATCCAGCTGACCGGTAACCTGGGAGGTGTTCTCCGCGAGAGTGTCGAGGTCGCGCTCACCTGGGTCAAAGCCCATGCCTACGAGCTGGGACTGTCCGCGGATCACAACGAGGACATCATGAAGAACCGCAGCTTGCACGTCCACTGCCCGTCCGGGGCAGTTCCGAAGGATGGTCCTTCCGCCGGCCTCGCCCACACGATCGGCCTGATCTCGCTGTTCAGCGGCAAGCCGGTACCTCCTAGCCTCGCCATGACCGGCGAGATTTCGCTGCGCGGGAAGGTGATGCCGGTGGGCGGGATCAAGGAGAAGTTGATTGGAGCGTTGCGTGCGGGCGTGAAGACCGTCCTTCTGCCGCAACACAACCGGAAGGATGTGAAGGATGTCCCGCAGGAGGTCAACGAGGGCCTGGAGATTATTTACGTCAAGTAAGTGTTTCTGTTCGGGGGTTTCGGTATTTTCACTAATTCTTGGCAATCAGACACATCTGGGAAGCCATTCGACAGGTGTGGCCTGACGCTCACTGGCCGGGGCAACACCAGGCCAATTTCATCGAGAGCCGGCTGTAGACCGGTTTTGAGGTGCTAACACTTCACAGTATAGGGCCAATTGTAGATAATGCTCTTGTTTTATGATTTAAGCAGCCAGCGGGGTTTCTGTTGATGCAGCGTTTTGCTATTCCACCCACATTCATCTTACTATAATCCACATTATGAAACCAACAATACATTTATCCCATACACTCCCTAAATAATCAACTTCCCCAGGACTCCGCAAACAAAACCAACCACCGTGGAAGAAAAAGAAAAATGTATTTATAAACCCAGAGCGATATAATACAGCGCGACCTTGAAAGAAGAACCCCCAGAAGAAAATACATACCCCCAAAGAACAGCCAGCCCTGTTGGCAATCGTGTCCAGGACGTCACTGCCATTCATCCTTTCCCCAGATTCATCCACCCACTACAACCCTCAACCCTCACGACCTCGACCCAGCCTTAGGACTAGTAGCCGGCTTGCCCCCGACGGAGCGATCGTAATTCAACCCCAGCGCCTGCCAAGTGGGCCGCCAGGGCTTCTCGCCGCTGAGGATCTTTTCGGCCTCGGCGGCGTACGACTCGCGCTCCTTGGTGGGGGCCAACATGGGGGCCTCGGGCTTCTGAGCGTCCTGCATCTCCTGCTGCCACTTGGCGGCCTTGTAGTATTGGTCTTTCTCCCATCTATCCCGAAGAATTAGCATGCGTCACACCACCAAACACAGCCTGTACATCATCTCTCCACCCTATACACCAGACTCCATCCTGAAAGCGTAGCGGGCATTGCGTACGCAACCCACCCAACCACAGCCAAAACCAAAAAACAAGGAAAAAGGGACCGTACTTATCCATCTCCTTCGGCGCCTCGGGCCACACGAACGGCTCCTTCATCTCAACGGTCATCCGCTTCTTGCTCTGCGGGCGGCGCAGCGGCCCGTACCCGAACCGGCCCTTGCTCTTCATGCGGGTGACCTTCTGCTGCTCGACGAAGCTGCGCACGGCCAGCACGCCGACCCCGTACGCTCGCTGCATGTAGTCGCGCATGTCGAGCTTGTTGAGGTGGAGCGGGACGTAGAAGGAGGCGTAGCGGGGGGGCAGGAAGGGGGTGCGGATGAGGGCGACGGTGAAGTCGGGTCTTTGGCGCGGCACACATTAGCGGAGGCGCGGTCTGAGAGGGACAGAATCTGGGGCGCGAATCGAGGAGGGGTATGGGAGCAGGGAACTGAGGGTGTTTCCAGCGGGGGGAACTGCGAGGATTGGGGGTGGGTGCTCACAGAAAGACCTGTTTGCGCGCCTCCAGAGGAGCGCCGGGACCGACCCAGCCTTCGGGCCGGGTGGGCACTTTTTTCGCGAGTTGCGTGAGTTTGCGGACCATCTTTGATGATTGACTCTTCTGGTCCGGAGGTTTAAAAGACCAAGGGAAGGAGGAAGAGGAGTCGGTAGTGGTGGTGGTGGTGGTGTATTTGGAGGTGCGGAATCGTTTGGTTATCTTCCGGAGCGGAACTTTCTTGCAAATCGTTGTTTGCGTCGTTTGGCCGCTTCGGCGCCCGTACTGAGTACGGAAGGGACTACTCCACTCCGGCTATGGAGCAATGCGGAGGGCTTAAGTTATGCTACAATTGTCATTGACCTGACTTTGCGCTTGTCTACCGATTGATCGGATGCTTCTTGGTGATGGCACAGGATCTTTGGATCGGACGTTCAAAGTCGGACAATTTGAGGCCTCAGCCAGTGGCCTCAATAATACCTCAGATCTCAATACAAGGAGAAGGCAAGACAATCAGCTAGCGAGTCGCAGACACAGTTCACAAATCCCAGAAAAGGTCTATTCATTATGGTCATGATCGTATCATATATTTTTATCAATCGCAGCCGATCCCTACTGTGCCCCCTCCGACACCTTCAAATTGCCTAGCCGTCGAGAACTCTCCTCGAGCTCGTCCGACTGCGACTCCTCCCTATCATCCTCCTCTTCCTCTCCCTCTTCCTCAGCCTCCTCCTCATCCTCCTCCTCTCCATCCTCTCGATCGCTCCCCCCATCCCCCGTCGCCCCAACCTCCTGCATATAATTCTCCAACTCACGAGCCATCTTCCTCGAGAAACCCGACGCCTCAACCTCGACATCCAACCGCTTCCCCGGATTCGCCATCATCTGCTTCTTCGCATCGGCAAAGAAGGGCCCGGGCACATCACTGACAAAGTGAAACTTGCGGGAGAAGTACCGTTTGATGCAGTTGACATCGCGATCGAAGTACATCTCCGCATTGGGGTGATCAATCGAAACCATCTGCGGGAAATCGATCACCACAGGCACCAACGTCACCTTCTCGTCGTCCTCCTCAATCTCACGCCCCTTCCCCTTCTCACCCTCCTCCACGACCTCCTTAATCAAAATATTAAACTCGTTGAAATCACCATGAATCAGCCCATACCGCGCGAACCGGACGATCATCTCCATCAGCTCCGCATACAGGCCCGCGGGGTCCGCGACCGAAGAAATCTGGCGCAGCGGAAACGCATCGATCAGGCTCATGACGATGGTGTGGCGGTTCTGGGCGATGGGCTCGGGGACGCTGAACCCGTTGGCGCGCAGCGCCTTCATGAAGGCGAACTCCTTCATGGCCGCCAGCCGCGACATGTACATCCACGAGGCCGAGGTGCGGTGCCGCAGGTAGTCGCGGTTGGTCTTGACGGTGCGGAAGGAGATGCGGCCCAGCCGGTGGATCTTCAGGATGCATTGCTGCTTCTGGTGGTTGGCCACCACGTTGATGTCCGACTCCTTGCCCACCCCGATCTGGTTGCCCACCGAGTAGATCACCTTCTGCTTCTGGTGCGCGTGCAGCGCCAGGTAGTCCAGCCCGCCGTAGGTGAGGCGGTAGCCGTCGTCTGTCCCAAGAAAATATGCATGGTAAGTAAAGATGAGTAACATAAAGAAATTTTTTTTTTTTTTTTTAAAACCCCCCCTTCCCTCCCCCCCCCCCCCCCCCCCCCCGGTATTCAAGCCACGTAGACATACATTTAGCATTCTTCACCTTCGCAATCAAATTCGTCTTCGCAAGGTTCGAGATCGATCGGTGCACCCCGCTGCCCCCGCGGAGGCCCGAGATCTGCGCAATCAACGGCGTAGGCACGATTTCATGGTTCCGACTGCCTTGTTCAACCTTTTCTCCTCAAGAAAGACAAGCTTGTCTGTTAGCTTTGGTCAATACGAGACATAAAACAAAAAAAAGAGGTCGTCCAAAAAAAGTCAAGGCGGGGAAGAGTGCTTGGAGGGGGCGGGCGTAGCGTACCGCCGAGAGAACGCGAAAGTCCTCCGCCGTGAGGTAACGGATCGCTTTGGGGTCGAGCTTCATGGCGGAAAGTTGCTCGAAGATTGGAGTTGTTCAACAGCGACAAAATATTCAATAGCGACTCGGATTTTAGAGTGGAGTCGCCCGTTTATCTCTAAGCCTTCGAGGTGATTGCGGCGGCGGCGTCCCTGAAGGTACCCGGGGAAAAGTTATGGGCTCTGCTGCCCTATGCCCTAGTTTCCTGTTCGGGATCTTTCTGTATACAACTCGGACGACGGACGACGTTGATGAAACCCTGCGACGATGACACCGCAAGAATCTACATTATACATACCCGGAAGCATATGCGCCCACCAACCTGGGTCCTCGAAACTAAACTACCTTAAAAAATAAACTCCTTAGCATTGAACACTCCCCTTCCTATATCCATTGATCTAATTGATATAAGGTATTTCCGGTTCGTTCTGAATACATTAAGTCCAAGAATCCCAAAGCTGTGATTTCCCGGCGCTCATTCAAGCTCGCAAAGTTTCATGTTCAGTTCTCGTCTCATTTATGCGGAAGTCTCCGCCTCCCAGTTGGGGTTCTGCATTCCAAGTTAGCAGGAGAACTTCAGTTCATGGTGTATCGGGATATTTACCTTGCGCAAGATTACCAAACCCTCCAGAGTGCTGCTGAGAGGGATGTATTGCTCGTCTTCGAGTTCGGCCCGCTCACCATAGGCCAAGAGAACGGGCGTGCTCTGCGTCTGCCAGCCAGTGATCGTCTTCGGGCGACCGGCCTGGCCGACAACATCCACGGCCTGACCGACCCGGACATTCACAGTCAGAGGCTGCAAGTCTTCATCGAGTGTGACGAGGAAGCGAGGGTACATGGCGGTGATGAGGAAGTAGAGGAGGTAATGGTGTTCGGCGAGGATGAATTGCTTGGCGTCAATCAAGGACACGAGGACGGTGAGCAGACCGGCAGCTGATACACGCGACAGGACCTGTCGGTCGGTGTGGAAGGGATTCAGGGTCATGGTGCCCTTGCCCATATGCAAAAGACCCTGCGCGATGCGAACCATGAACAAAGAGTTCTGGTCACGGTGGTAATAGCTAGCCAGCTGACGGAGCAACTGGGCCAAACGAGCGTTGTTGGTACCGGCACCACACAGACCCATGGCGAAGATGGCGTTGATAGCAACGTCGTTGTCGGTGTCGTGACTGTATCTCGAAAGAGTATCGTAGACCTTCATTTGGGGGTTGCTAGGGGTGATCAGGCCCATAGCGAGCGGTACAGCCTTGCGGATGTTGCTGGCACCGTAGTGCATGAGATGACCGAACTGTCGGAGAATCATATCCTGGCCAACTTCCTCGCCCATGGCGATGAGCGACAAGCCAAGGACAGCATATGACTGGACGAGCTCGTCACCCTTCTTCTCGTCGGTCTCCTCGATGATGTCATTGCAGATGTGGAGGAGCTCCTGGAGCTTCAGGACTGTGCCAGTGCCTGCCCAGGCGCAGACCGAGGCAAGTACAGAGGTGGGCTTAGCCATGGGGTGGTCCACGGCCTTGAGAATGTCAAGAACAACGTCAACCTCTTCTTGACGACCGAAGTACAGAAGGGCGAGACCAAGCGCCATGAAACGGGTCCACTTGTCCTTCAGGTGCTTCTGTCTCTCCTCGTCCATCAAGGTCGAGGCAATTGCCTCACTGACTTGATGATTGGAAGAGCCAACGAAGATGAGACCCAGAGAGACAGCCGCCATGGCAGAGAGCTGCATATCCAGGGCACTGTCTTCGACGATCGGAAGAAGAGCCTCCAACAGCTCCTCCTTGTTGGAGCCGGCATAGGCCAGACCAAGACCCATGATCGATGCGACCCGCATGGGCACGCTCTTGGCTTCCAGATTCTCGGGGTCGCTCAGGAGAGCCAGGGCAGGGTCAGAATCGATCCGGACACCAGAGTTCAGGATACCGATGGACAACAAAGCACCCGCCTTGATCTGATCTTCCGAGGCGTACGTGTATTTGTCGATCTTATCCAGGCCGATCTCGACATCTCTGTGCATGAGCATTCCCAGAGAAGCAGTGGTCGACAGCATGCCGTCATCCTTCGTCTTCCACACCCAAGGACCCTTGTCACCCTCGACCAGCATCATCTTATCGTTTCCGAATCCAGCATTAGCGAACGAGTTCACAAAAGCGCTGGCGAGGTTGTGTCTAGCGGAATCGACGTTGGTGAGGCCAGCACCACGCGAGCTTTCCAAGTGAGTCTTGTAGATATCTTCGGGCATCTTGGGATCCAAAATGTTGAGCTCCTTGCCAAGAGACTTGAAGTGCTTGGGGATCGAGGTATTGTTGAGGCAGTCCATGAACAACTGATCCTCTTCATATTCCGGGAGATCGAGCCATATTTGTTGTCGGGAAACGAGGAAGGCCATCTGCTTCTTGATAGAATCGTCCGAGGTGGCGTTCAAGTCGCTTTTGATCAGCTCAGTGTCGTTTAGGCGAATAGCAAGAACGATGGCCTTGGTGAGCTCCTTGTAGGTGACGTAGATCTCGTGGGCAGTGCGGAGGAATTGTTGGTCTTCTGGGTACGTTAGGAGGTTAACCATGCTAACCATGTACAGGCAGACTCGGGCGTATGTGTTGTCGTCCACGAAGCGAGGGATTTCCTCGATGATCTCGAGCTCACTCAGCAAGTCGACGGCATCGGCTTCAGCGTTGTGCTTCAAGAAGTACGGAACAAGAGAAAGAGCAAGGTCGATCAGATCTTGTACATCCTTCTCAGCGTTTAGCCTGTTCTGATATTCTTGGCCGATCTCCAAGGCCAGGTGTCTGATGTATTCATGACCCCATGAGCCAAGATCCTCCGACTTGGTCAGCAGGCGGTACTTCAGGGTCTCCAGCTTCTCCTCATCTCCGTATGTCATTCCAAGAACTGATAGCATGTCGGCCAAGGCGTCCTAGTTGTGATAAGGTCAGATTGTCGCTCCAATCGGTGCCATCGTACAACAGAAGACGCACCTTAACCGGGCTAGCCGGCCACTTGTCATAAAGCGCCGTTAGGTCATCGTAGTGAGGCCGGAGAAATTTCAGGGGCTTAGGGACAGCGGTCATTGAAGATGTCGAAGTCTTTATGAAATTCTTGATCGCATCCAAGGCAGGGCTGTAGAGGGATGTATCCGGCTCCTAGGCAGGAAGGCGGAGCGTTAACGTCATCGATCGGGGCCTGTAGCAACAGCTGCTGTGACCATACCTTTAATCTTTCCACGAGCATCTCCAGCTCGTTCTTCAATTGCTGATCTTCTTCATTGAGCTCCTCTGCATCGTTTGATTAGCACTGTCACAGCAAGCTGGGATAGCTGGTGCCAGAAGCGGCGTCGGGTCGGGATGTTTCCGCCCATGCCACGGGCTCAATGTATCGCCTACCTTCCTGGGGCTCTTCATCCTTCTTCTTTCCGTCGGCTTGAGGCTTCTCGCCGGTCTGTGCCTTCTTTCCTCCGGTCAAATCTTTCACATCGTCAACCTTGCCCTTGCCCTTGTCGGCGGGAGCTGACCGCTCGCCATCTTGCGCCATTGCTGACGATTATATGGCGAGTAGGACTGCGTGGTATCGGAGGTGGAGGGAGACTAGAGCGTGAAAAGATGCTCTGACAGAGATATCCGAAGTGGGACAGGTCGAACAGAATAAACCTTCACAGAGCAGGCGATGACGAGGGGGGTTGAATCATAAGCTTGTTGATGGGGAAGCAAAGGAAGCTCTCTCAGTTCCTCGCCGCTCGGGCGGGCGTTGCGCTCCTGTGGAGCTAGGCTGCTTATGTAAGGCCGCGCCGCCAAGCCTTCGACTCTAATAGAAGAATGAAACAATTCATGTATGTCAGCATCATTACGAGCAACACCCCTCAATTTATCCCCTACTCCTGCCTGGAGATACTGTAGGGTGAATTCCTCTACGATTATTTCGTGTGCTTAGATATTACTAGCACAATTGAAATCATTCTCATAGCTATACTGCACTAGTGCCAGCGATACATTTAATATCCCAATCATTTATATCACCAATGTGAATCACCTGAGACCTATTGATTGCAGCTGGAAAGCAGACGAAGAGGCACTTTTGAGGCATTTTCACCCGAAGAACAGCTTCTCAGTTGAGCGGTCTAGGAGTTTACAACCGCCTCGTTTGTATGAGCCATGTCTTCCTGTCCAGTTATGGATCGGACAGCATATCCGAGCTCCCGGAACACATAATTCGCAGAAACAACACTGATTATATCACTTCCGGTCATTCCTGGATGAGAACGCCTCTCAAATCGGAACTTGAGATGAGTCCCACGCTTCGAAACATTGCCCACAGTTCTTGCTTCTCCTCCCCAAGTCAATCTCTTGTTGGTCGTCAAAAGTACAGTTCCACGGATTGGCACCATGAAGACAAGCACTGTTTGTCGTCCAGGGCGTAGTCACCATCTCGTCATGCGACCTTAAGTCTACACCCGAACTTTGGCGCATGTTACACTGCAGGAAGCTGCGGGGATCCTACCTACTGGAGGGACAAAGCTGATACATATAAGCCCACTCCCTCATCTTCTCCTGTTCACAGCCCTGTTGATAATCATTATTGCTGGCCTTTACAACCATGGGTCGTCGCACTAGAAAACGCGACGAGGAAGCCAAGAAACGTCACGAGGAGGAGGCCAAGAAGCGTCATATCCAGAGCCTCTGCAATGCTTGCTGCATCCGCAGCCTGAATCCTTGTATTCGGTCGACTCTCTGCCACGCCGATGATTCGTTTCTCGAAGCATTGGTGTCAAAGGCGCAAATGCCTCATGAGATCGAGTCGTCGTCTGATGCCCGTATCTGCAGAAGAGATAATCAAGTCCTGTGAGCTGGATCGTTGTGTCAGCGTTATAAAACCACAATTAGGGCATCTAATTCATGTTTCATCCTAGGGGCCCAACGATCCAGGGAGGACCATACTCTCTAAGCTCAGGAGTTCCAGGGGAATCAAGGCACACAGAAGCTGCAGACCACAAAGCAATCCAATGATTCCCAGCAGCCTCGAAAACCTCATAGACCTCAGATGTCTCATCCTTCTGAGCGCCTGTGATTCAACGATCCAGGGAGGACTCTACTGTTCAGACTCAAGAGATCCCAGGTAAACAATGTACACCGAAGCTACAGACCACAAAGAAGCCCGTTGATGCCCACGAGCCCCAGACTTCCGAGAGCACTACTACCACAAGAAGAGTCGACAGCTCTGAGCTTCTCAGCAGAGCAGCAGCCACCTGCATCTCGTCCAGGATCTGTAGTCTCCTTGCTTCATGCGTGCCTTTGCTTAATCATTTGTACTAAAAGTGGGGTTTAGTTTTCGGTTTAATCTAGCTTACAACATTTCCGGGCAATTCGCGTGACTCTTGAATATGATTAGTTTTGTTGAATCTCAGGAGTACTCTCCCTGTCCCAACGGTATCTGCTATCTGTTTTACTACAGCGCTTACCCCAGTAGGAGCAGGATCGGTGGTCACTATTAGATCTCCGAAGGCTGGTGGTACCTCTGAAGCTCCCTCAACCCGTGGTTAATCATGATCCGGCCTGAGTGAGGAGCGATTTATGAAAGATGATGTTTCAATCAGGCAGACAATGAACACACCGAGAGCCGAGAGAGTGGGGAGATGGGAAGAGCCAAAAAGGAACATAAACTACAATTACCGGATACATACACACCAAACAACCCCTTCATAAGCCTCAATTCACCAGAAAAGAGGAGCGTACTCTGCAGCGCAGTTCGAAGTACAGTACACAACAGCCACAGCCACAACCACAGGTGAATTATAAGTCACATATATGATAAAATCCTCGGAAGTCTGGACAAAGGGAACCTAATTAAGTACCTGAAAAGAAGACGCAAGAAGAGACGGAGCGAAGAGATAGTGACTTGCACACGCAGACGGGCTTGATGTTGGGACAGACACAAAAGTTGAAATGCAGACGCTCAAAGAAAGAAAAAAAATGCGACTGGCTCATTAAACGACTGACTTGATTTAGCGAAGAAAGGCAAAGAAGAGCAAGAATCGAAATGAATGGTATCTAAGACAAATTCAATAATCCATGACTGAGTATCCCAATCGGTCATTCGCGTCGAGAACACTGCGTGGTTTGCATGTTTAGTATGGACTCCAGCTTGTGGACGAAAACAGGACAAAACTTACGAGTATTGCTTGGTCAACGTTCCCTCACCACCTTTCGAGAGGTCGATGCTGAAGACGTAGAAGTTTCCGTCACTGGTCACAACCATCACCTGAGGCGTGTTGGTGCTCATTGCAACGACACTGCGGAGCGGACCAGTGTTGCCGTTGGTGCCGGGGCCCTGGTTGGATTTGGGCAGTTTGATCCACGCGAAGTCACGAGCGGGCTCCCACATCTCGCTGACACCCTTGGGAAGATACCCGCCAACCTTCGCAGCAAATGAGCTGCCGACATTTTGTGAGGTGCGCCGGATGATCCCCATTAAGGTTCCATTGTGCTTCCTGGAAGCAAGCTCAGAAGAGCCCGACTCTCCGCCAGCATCGTCCGGGTCCGAGGATTGGCCAAAGGAGCTCTGACTATATCTCCTGTCCGCAGCAGTGGGCGAAGACAATGACGGAGTGGTGTGTGGTGACTGAGACTGCTGGCTCAATTTGAACAGATGGATGGTCTCGGTAGAGGAAGATACGCAGAGAAGTGTTGAGGTGGTATTGAACGACATGCTGTAGATCCTAGACGGTATCGATCCACGCCGGAACTGATATAGCTTGTGACCGTCAGGGACGGAAAACACTCGAATGATAGTTCCTTTGTCGGAGGCGGTGGCGATCAGTGTACCATCGCTGTTAAGTGTGATACATGCCAGTGGAGATCGATGCGCTTCGATAACGTTAATAGCTTCCAGCTTCAAGGTGTCGAAAATCAGAACTTCACCACTCGTAGGTGAAACATGTGTTGTGCCGGGGGGCGCATGAGAAGGGGGAGTGAATGACGAGGGTGGCGCCTTCTGTGGAAGAGGATACGCGAGGTAGCAATTGTCAGAGGAGGGAGATAGGGCGCAGATTGCTAAGTAAGATTAGACCACACATAAGGAATGCGCAGCGACGAGCGTTGTCTTACCATTTGGGTTCGGGGAAGTCTCAATGGTATACAATAGCTTCATCGTCTGAATATCATAGAGGTAGATCTGATCCTCCAGAACTATGACAAGTCGTTTGCGATTCAGCTTGACCGCGAGCACGGTGGTAGGAAATGTCAACTCGCATATCGTCGACTGGCGCTATAGGTGGGACCGAGAAAGAAGGTGTTAGCCAAATACGTCATGCGCGCAAGGTAGCAGACAAAGCGAGTATCTCTTCAAGGTACATCAACCTTGCGAAACCCAACAAATGTGCACAAGGCTGTCGTACGAACCTTGGTATTAGTTATTTGAAGGCGACGTGGTGACAAGATCAGCGCAACCAGGGATGTCGAGAAAAGCATCTCAATAATAGCAATGTTCCCTTCCTTCGTCTCATAGCTTTTTGCGAAAGGATCCGTGGTGAAGATACGAAATCCCTTGGAAGTCGCTGATAAGTGTCAAGAGATATTCCATGGGTCAAGCTGGGGTATAATCCGAGGGGCTCTTACCGACGGCCAGATAACTATAGTCCTGGTTGAACGTCACGAAATTCATCGCCATCTTGTCTGTGCCGATCGCTGTGATCGACCGTGTCCCACCCCGCGCAACAAATCTATAATCGTATGAATTGTCGGCTATGTAAGGCGACCGGAGAAACCAGCGATGCAAGACACTCGATTTGAACTGAGGCAACTGCGGGGCTTAGACAAGCTTCAGTGTTGCTGAATGGAGGGGCTAAACAGATCCCGTCCTAGGACCGCTTCCGTCACAGCTGGTGATGTTCGCCTTGCATATCTCGTGGGTGCTGGTGGTAAAGACGCAAGATAGACTTTGACGATCGATGAGAGCCAAGCAGAAAAGCGATTGCAAATTGACAATAATAGTGAGGGGTGGATGAGTAGCGGACTGGTTGGATGAGGGATCGGAGAACAGCCGTTCGTTCGTCTTTGCCGCGGTTTGCGTCAGGCGCGGCAAGCGAGCACCTGACGCTCGGGCCACACCTTGATCGCCCGCCGCCGCTCCGATTAATTACAGTACGTACGGAGACTAGTCTGAAATATTATTCCATCCCGCTTTCTTCTCTTCGATCATTTTCTTTCGGTGTCTTGCAGAACCCCCAACAATCGCCTATGATGACGGCGAAGAAGGAAGCTAGCCCTGCGGCGGCTTCTACCAAGAAGCCTGTGATGGCGCCAGTTCTCTCCAAGGCCGAGAAAGAGGCCGATCTGGTCATGGGAGTAAGTTCTATCCATTCCGTCGCGGGGTTGCTACTATGCGCCAGCGCCGATAGTTGGCCACGATCTACATTGTCCACCAATGTATTCCGTCTATGCTATAGATTCCGAGCCTGACTCTTTTAGACCAACAATAGCAGTATCGTGTCGAAACGCAGTGTCGAGATGCTCTACTACCCTAAACCGCATTACTTCCGG